GTTGCTCTGCTTCGCCCGTCCATGGTCTCGTCCTCCAGCAGGTGAACAGCAGAGTGAAGTGCAGCTGCTGCTGCGGTGCTGCTCAACATCCGCCGCTGGCTGTGCTGCAGAGCAAACAAACCGTCCAATGGAAGCGGGTCTGTAACTGAGCTGAACTCATCTGACACACTGAGGACGCTCACAAACCACAGGACGGGCGACCTTCCATCTCACTTTACTCTTTATGCTACAAGTTTGGAGTTCAGGCATCTGGGTCTTTTTCTTCTTCATGATGTTATAAAACATTCTTCCGGATGCCGTCTTGACACACTTCTCTGCTTTCAAAGAAACGAGGCCACTGCTGCTGCTGTGGAAGGACTGAATGTAAAGAACTTAGTGGGAAGGAAAAGGAGCACATTGGTTGAGAGCTCAGAGTAAAAGACAACAAATGAAACTGTCCCAAGGGAAGATATTAAAGATCTGTTTTTTTTTATTGAGAACACAGCATGCCAGTGGAAATACGTCCCCCCACACACACATAAACACACACATAAGAGCTTTGTGCATAGGACCCCATAAGAGCTTTGATAAATTTCAGTGGGACTCCGTAATTGCACACCAATTACTGCATCTCATTTGATGCCATTACAAGTAGATGGGGTGAAACAAACAAGTCCTTTTATGATTCATAATGGGAGTGGGAGGGCTGTTACATTGCAAGTGGTTGTTTCCTAATGTGTGTATTCGCTCCGAGCAAACCTCTGCCGATTCCTGCCAGCCTATGAAGGTCCTTAGTTGCTATAGGGATGGGGTGTCCATGGCAACAGTGTGAAACGAGGGGACGTGCCGTCAAGGCGGGCGACACATAAAGTTAACGGGGTAAGAGGTGCCTTCGTGGACCCCGTTCAGACACAAACTGGGACCTCAATGAAAAAACTAACTTAAGAAAAAAAGTAAAAATGTTTCTTTAAAATAAAAAAAAAAGAAAATCAAAAAGTGACGATCAGAACCTTGATGGACTCAAGAGAAGCTTGGAGAGTCCATCGTTCGTCCCATTGGCACGTTCACGGAACCAAAAACAATACAAAAAACTGAACCATATACAAATACTGTTATAAAAATAAATCCCTCCGACCACAGTAGAGAATCTTTTATCTCACTATCAAGTGTAACAACTATTCACAAATCCCTTTAAGTCTCATCAAGTACAGACAACCTACAGGTCTCACATTTGAAGTCATTCAGTCTCAAAACACTCCGAGATACCAAAACACGAACGCAATAACCAACTGATGGAGCATCGAGGGTTTTTAGAACCTTTAAAAAGTTAAATACTGCTGTCGAAGTCAAATTAAATGAGATATTGTTGAATCAAAATCAACAGAAAATATTCTCCCTTTGAGGTAAACTAAATGTATCTTAAAGTACATCAGTGCTGCAGGTAGCTTGTGTTGAAGTGAAACCAAGAAATAATAATCAGAACTTTCCAGATGCATTCTCACTCCACAGCTTTCTGTGAGTTCCACCTCAGGTAGTTAGGATGACTTTAACAGGTAAGAATGGAGGGAAAAGTCCATTTTTATCATTCGAACCACATACAGTACATCCACACACACACATCGAGACACATTCACACAAAAAAGCCAGAAATAAAAAAATAAAAAACTCATCCCTTTCCCTGTTGACTTAAGAGCTATTAAATTAAATCCTCCAATTCACAGCTGAACAATAAGAACAATAAAATCTACTGAAACTAGATGATATTGCATCAGGACAGCAGAAGCCGCCTCAACCGCTAAGATGCTGTTCTGCTAATGATATGCATGTTAATACAAACTGCTTGCATTAAGAGTCGTTTCTGTTGCTTTGGGGTCACCAGGACTCTGTGTGAATTTCTAAACTCTTAGGTCTGTTAAAATTGCGCAGCTTAAAATGAAAAGTTTTCTCTGTTTTCAATTAAGAGGCGATAAACTGTCCACCTGGTGCTGAAACTCTGTCTCGTCGAGAGGATTACTGGCCGCGGAGAAGAGCTTCAACACCAGAGAGCTTCCTGATACTGTGATCCTACAAGGCTCCCTGTGAAACCACAACACACACTCACACACACGAGGAGCAGGCAGAGGTTAAGATCAGTCAGAAAACACGACGAGGGAAGTTGTGCTGCTGCTGCTTCAGGCCGCGAGGTCGTCTGAAGCCGGCGCAAAGTCCCTGGTGCGCAGAGCGTTGGACTGAGCTCTCCTCCGAGCCAGCCGGGAGTTGGAGGGAGGAGAAAGCCTCATGGAGCAGACGATGGCCCCGACGTCCTCCTGCTGCTCGTCGTGCTGCGATAGCTGCCGGTTGAAGGCGATGGCTTCTGCTGCAAACTGGGTCAGGTCTTTGGTGCTGCTGTTCCTACAAGAACGAAATAATATGTCAGACATGTCGATGCATTTCAGTGGCACGTTGACTCAATCCTGTCTCTTTTTTTGCTTATGCACTCACTGGCAACTGCTTTCTTCATTAATCTATCAACCATTTGGCCTAAAAGATGTGTTAAAATGCTGTTTACAGTGTGCTAGAGTCCAAACGAAAGTCCATCCATCCATTATCTATACACTGCTTAATTCTCACTAGGGTCAAACTAAAGTTCGAAACCCAACTATATTCCATCTCAGCTATCTAACGACAGCAAAACAACAACTAAAAGCTGTACAAACTACAACCTGATCGTATTTTTGCTTGGAAAAAGCTACCGTAAATTCCAGACTATAAGCCGCTATTTTTTTCCACACGCTTTGAACTCTGCGGCTTAAACAATGAAGTGGCTAATTTATGGATTTTTACGAATTCGCTTCAAGACCAAAGTGACACTGAGAGCGACAACGAAAGAGAGACTGAGGAAGTGATGAAGTAATTCTGAGGTTGTTCAACTCCGATACTAAAGAAGATGACTTTAGTGGTTTTAGTGCAGGAGGAAGATGAAGATAGCGATCAATGACTTTTCCTGGTAGGCTGCTGTAGTTTTTATGTTCTTAACCAGCCGTGTTACAGGCACTGTTCGGAAAAAAGCATCTACAGTACGTATTTGTTACTGGTATGTGTTTAATTAAAAGTTTAAAACATCTTTCTGTGTAAATATCTCATGTCACAACGTGGACACCTGCAGCTTATAGACAAGTGCGGCCTGTATACGTACAAAACTAGTTTTCTTTTTAAACTTAGTGGGTGTGGCTTATATTCAGGAATTTACGGTATTATTAAAACAGTTGCTGATAAATAAAAGGTGTGCACAGAAGCTCTACTTGCACATTTTAAAAAATGCAAATAATAAAGGCTCTTCTTCTAATATAACTTCTTTTTGAAACCCTTCATTTGTGTTCAAAGCCCCTTCTAAACGTATAAAAGGGATTTTTGTAGCTGAAACACAAACCTCTGTAGAACATGAGGAGTTGGAAGACCTCTCTCTGGTGCATTCTGTCAGAAACAAAACAAGACAATTACTTAAAGTAAAATAACAGATAAATTACTGCGTTGTCAGAAACAAAATCTTAACAACAAGTACACCAGTGCACAGATCTAATGACACCCACCCCCTGCACCCAGGGGTGCTTGAGGACCTGAGCAGCACTGAGGCGCAGAGTGGAGTCCCGAACCAGCAGCTTGGATATGAGATCCTTGGCTCCCTCTGTGATGTGCGCCCAGTCCTTGTCTGGAAACTCGTACTTGCCCTGCTGGATGCTCTCAAACAGGTGACTCTGAGGAGAGACGACGGCACAACGTCCTGTCAAACTGCTCAGCTCCAGGCTGTGGTCTTTATAACCGTAATGAGGCGGAGGGAGAGTGAGTGAATGTCGTTATCCTTGAGGGGAAACTTGACTTGTTGCTACACATACAGGCATGAAAGGAACATTATAAAAACATAAGGACACGTTTAGCTTTACATAAAAAAAAAACTACAAAACGACAAAAGAAACTTTAAAAACATGATTTCTGATCTTTTCCAGAGCTTGTGCCCAAATATTGCTAGCGTTCAAACTTTAAATGGTGATGTAATTGATTCAGTGGCAAGCAGCAGAACACCTGTGTGGATTATAGTTTTCCTTTTTAACATATGAAGCAACTTATGAAACAAACTCAAGGCTAAGTTAGGTTGTCATAATTAAAACAGGGCCTGCCTTAAACTACCACTTAGAAAAATGCTTGTACAGGCCACAGTCTCAAGTCTTTTACACTATCAGGACATTATTTACATGCATGCTGCCAGTTTGACACTTTGCACCACAGCGTTCTGTGTTTTATATCCAACTCATGGTCACATATCCCTTTCAGAGACAGCAGCAGTGCTTATTTTCATTTACAAAGCAATTCTACAAAGCAATATTGGGTAAACTACCTTCTTACTACTCGACACTTACTTATCACCAGCTGCTGTGATTACTACTCATCTAAACGGCTCTACAGGGAACCCAGGATTTGCTCTGAACCTGCTAGAACAGCCTTTTTACTATTTTGGTATAACCTTCAGAACACTCGACAGCGTAATGATTTTCTCTTCCTGGGCGGGTTTGAAGCTCTGATCAAATGATGTGTAACTGAAGAGTGACATTCCTATTCCTCAGGTGGATTTTATGAATCTTTAGTCCCTCGGTTGTTTCACCGTGCTTTACGAAATGCTCGATTTTATAAAACTGTGTTGCTTTGTAGTGGTGTGATCGGACTTGTTAGTTAAATAAAGCAGCAGTGAAGCAAAGGAATGAGAAGACATTAAACAGTAAAGAAAGGAAACTCTACACATTGTTGTATTGCATTGTAGTTTAGCAGCTTGATGGAGGCTGGAATAAACAACAGCTTGAAGCCGTTTGATTTGAACCCTGAGGTGACACTCTCCACACAAATGTTTGAATCACAGCTAAGAGTGCCAGCAGGTCAGCGGCATCTAAAATGAAAGCTGCTGCTGCTGATGGCATGCTGACACATTTGGATTAGATAAGAACTCATTAAAAAACACATGTCGGCCTACTACGACTGCTGCTGAGCCTGTGTGTAGCGGGCAGAACAGTATTTATAGCCCATGTACTAGCTTGTTAATAAATAGATCTCATGCATACCACATAAGTCCAACATGCTTGGACCCAAATCCACCTCCAGGTCCTGCATAACGACGTTGCTCACACTTATGTTGGTTCATTCGATTGAACTGATTCATGCTTTCTGTCTTCTCAGCTCTAATACGGAACTTTCCTGCTTAAAGGGAAGTTTTTAATCAAGATCCTCCGTTTCATTTCATTCCTTTTTTTAACATTAGATTTTACAACAAAAACAAGCTTTGGTTACCGTTTCTATTTTAACTACAATCCACACTGCCAGTCTTTCTCTGCCACTGTTACAATCATGAACGCCTAAAACCCTAAAACCCTAAAACCTCTGGATTTGTCCAACAAAACACCCATAGCTCACTGACACTCAGCTTCCTCTCAAAGAAGATTATGAAAACCAGAAAATAATTACAGTGGTGATGTGACAGCAACTGGAATTTCAAAACTTCTGCAAACTAACAGTTTCAGTTGTTTCTTTGCAGTACAGTGTAGCCATTAAAGGGCTGGATCTTAAGCACCACTCAAGGAGGCAGCAATACTAACACTGAAAGCAGGAAGTAAGAGAAGCTTTAATTCTAAAATTCCCAAGCTGTAGCTGTAAATTGCACCTTTGTTACGGAATGGTGACGAGAGATACTGAACTGCAGATGTGAACACTTCTGCATGAGTCAGATGAAACGGACACCAAGTGAAGGCAGAGGGTGTTTGGGGGAGGATACCTGGCACGTCCTGCAAGTTTCTCCTCGGTCCCAGCCACAGTCGGTGCCACAGTGGCCCGTGAATGGGGGGCTGCCGCTCAGCAGGATGTAGAGGATGACCCCGAGGCTCCACAGGTCACAGCGCTTGTCGTAGAAGGAAGCCTCATCAGTGAACACTTCCACCACTTCTGGTGCCATGTATTCTGCAGAGCCGCACTGAGAGAGGGGGGAAGATTGAAAACAGAGAAGTTGAGTCAGTTAGATTAGTTCTGTGTGTAATGCTACGTGTCTGTACTCAGCTATGAGTTTAAAATGAGACGGTTACCGGTGTGGTGAGCTCTGGGGTTGTTATGGGCGTACAGGCACTGCTGAGCTTCACTCCACTTCCCAGATCAAAGTCACAGATTTTTACTGGCGAGACCTGAGCAGAAAGGAAAAGCATATTATTTTACTGTTTTATTATTGTATGCCTTCACAGAAAACTAACATCTTTCTAAAAGCTTTAACGGCCACTTACTCGATCAGTGTATTCACAGAGTATGTTCTCCAGCTTAAGGTCTCTGTGGGCAATGCCTGAAGGAAAAAACATTGTCACCATGACAAAAAAAATAGAAAAAAACCATAGTTATGCTTGTTGGACTTTAGCTGAATAACTGCCTGCATGTTGACTTACCTTTTGTGTGCAGGAAGTCAAGAGCTTGGGCAATGTCCCTGACTACCTTACTGGCCTCGAGTTCATCAAAGTGCTTTCTGTTCTGAATATGTGTAAGAATGGAGCCTGTAGGGAGAGATAAAAAAAAAAAGAAATCTCATGCAGCAATCTTTTTGTGTTGAGAATGAGTCACCTGAAAAAGCCACATACGCAGATGTTCTATCTGTTGTATTATTCATTCGTACTTACCGCCACGCAGCTTTTCAAAAACCAAATAAAAGCAGGAGTTGTCTTCAAAGAACTGGATCAATTCCAAAATGTTCCTGGACAAAGACATTTTGAGCTAATTAGAATCTGTTTCATTCTGTGCTGGTTTTAAGTTTGTTAAATAAGATGCTCAGATTGAATGCACTCACTTGTTTCCTTGGCACTGGTAGAGCGTCTCCACTTCCCGAAAGACTCTGCTGCGGCTATGCCCGGCACTCTTTTCTATAATCTTCGTAAGACAAACCACAGAAGCAATGATTAGTTGCCAGAACAAAAGTTTTTTTTTTTAAATCCTTCTCTTCATTTTTAATACAACAATTGTTAACAAAGTGTTGCTGCATAAGAGCATGCATGTTCAGCCCTGTTAAAACTAGGTTTTAAAATCTAGCTGACTCACCTTCACAGCAAACTCCTGTCCATTCTGCAGGCTTACACATCCTTGTACTTTAGCATATGCCCCCTGACCAAGCACCTCATCTGTCAGTTTGTAGAGATCTGAAGGAAATGCAACATGTTAGTCTGCAGTAGGTGTTTGTCAAGAAGAGACTAAAAAAAACATTTAACTGCTTTTGTAAATGCTGCATGTGTGTGTGTCTCACAATAATTTCCAGTTTATTACCATCAAAAGTGCCGGTGGAGCTGTCTGTCGCTCTAGTTCTTTTCTTCTTCTTTCTTTTAGCTGCATCGGGGATGTTCACTGGCTCGCTTTTCGGGATCTCTGAAGCACCACAGAAGAGAAATTAGTTTAAAACTGTACACATGACGTAGCACAAGAGGAGGAATATGAGAGCTGTTGTACCTGCTGGGCCTTGAGAAAGGTGCTGTCTTTCCTCTGAGCTGATCCCATTCTCCTGAATTCCCCCACACTTTTGCCCTACTTGGCCCACAGCCAGGGAGTTACCCTGTAACAGAGAGAAGGAGGCCGCACGGGAGGGAAAGAGCGAGAGTAGCCACAGAAATCAGGTGCTTGTAGAGAACAGAGAAAACACTAGAAACAGTGCAAATATCTCTCATATGTCAGATTGTTAACTACTGGAAAATAACGTCAACTTCTGTAAAATGAAAAATTACATAGATGAGGCAGGTTGCCGTAAAAGAAAAACAAAAACACAAGCAACAACAACGAAGTTGCTACGGGAAAAAATGATCCTCTGTAATTACATGGTTGTATTGCTACTTCAACAACTTCAGTGATCATCTTCCCCTGTGGCATCCTGCCAAACCGGTGGCCTGATGAGAATACAGGAAACAAAGCGACAGGCCTTATCTCACCCTGGACATTACCAGAAGCATTTACACAACCAGCATGACTCATGGAGGGTGATGAAACTTCCATGTTTCCGTGTAAATAACCTTGACAGGGGGGTGGCTACTTTCTGGCAGCCTGATCTGATCTGACCTTCTTGAGGAAGTCGAAGGTTTTGAAATCAGCAGTGAAAACAGAGCAGATCGTACCTGGAGAGAGTGCTGGAAGGCTTGCAGCTCCGTCATCATGCTGTGCCTCACCATATCTGCCAACTGAGAGCAAATCACAAATACACTCAGTTAGTCAGCAGCATACTGCAGAGACGTAAATACACATAATAACAAGGCAGCTCAAAGCGGCGGTGACTGAAGGAATTTGAGCAATGGGGTCTATAAATCAGCCAGAACAGTTTCTATAAGAGGCTTCCTCTTTCTTTCACTCTCATTTTGTTTGGATGCGGTTAGTGAGCGACTGAATGTCCGCAGAAGGTTCAAGCACAGTACAGTTTGTTGTAAATTAGTCAGTGTTAGTGTTGGGTATGACACTGCTAGAAAAGGCATCAGAAATATGGTAAATACGTTAGCATGTAGCTAGAATATCTGGCGTTATGCCACTAACCAAACGTTAGCAACCCCAATAGCCAGGCAGTTACTTAACATGAGTAATATTGTTTCAAACAATATAAAAATAATGTATAAAAGATTAGCAGAGCATGGGAAAAAAGGGCTACAGTTAGCTTTCACTGCTCCCTTGTATAAACCGACCTTTGTTATTGTCGTTAGCCTCAGCTAGCTAGCTAGCCAGTCAGCTAGCAACGACCCGTAGCTAGCTTGTTCTACCGGATAACGTCCATTTGCTCGTTTGTATGTAGAGACCCTGTCAAGTGGTGGCAAAATAAAAATATAAATGAAAAAAAAGATTTATCAAACCTGAACTCCAGACCAGCCAAATCCCTTCTGTCAAAGCCCCCGACAGCTGATGTAAGCTCCCATTGCTAGCCGAGACCAGTCAGACAGCCGGTGACGTCGCGGGCGGGAAAAGACATAAACAGACATTTGCTCCGCCCCTTTCTGCGTTCCTCCTCCTCCCATTGGTCGAGACTGATGCAAACAATGACACGTCACTTGGCTCGACTCGCTGCCACGCCTCAATCCACGTAGAGGGGAATTTTTTTTATGCTTGATCATCGCCTTTATTTACACACACATTCATTAGAGAGGTCCGACAGGTCAGCACTGACATTAGTTACAGCTCACGCCACACATCTGCAGTATGTCATCATTATTATTGTAGTTTTCTGTACTTTCTTCAGCCTGCTTGTCAGTTTTTTGTCCACTTCTTTTCACATCTTGTGCAGTGTTTACACAGAAAATGAAAACAGACATGACCTAATGTCCATAATTTGAATTTTTATGCCCTTAGAAAAAACTAGAAAAAACATATAAAACACAAACTCACAGTCAAACACAATCAGCACTGCGTATCAAAACACTGAGATCACACAAATACACATGCACGAAGAAAAAGAAAAAGGATGATGTAGTTTGTCTTTCTTTAAAACAACAAATAGAACTATAAAATGACATCACAGCACCACCATGGCTGTAAAACTTCTGTGAAGGTGCAGCTCCGTCATCGGAAGAACTGTTTTGAGTTACTGGACTCAGAAAACCGCTCATACAAATGTATATAAAATTGTTCATTTTTCTGTTTTCTCGTGGGGCTCAGATAACGTCAGAATGTAAACTCCTTTGTCCATGTGGTTTTTGTTTAATGGCATATCTTCTCTGTCATCTCTTTCTGCAGGAAAAAGAAAACAAAAGACAAGTTAACTCATCAAATCTACACCATATGAGGAAATGAACATGTGTTATGAAGTCCAATCATGCTTCTAAGCACGAGACAGAAAGCTGCTGCTCCTCTAAGAACAACAACAAAAGGAACTGTCTTGGGAACTGGAGGTGGGACAATAAAACAGGGTCTGTTTGGAAGATGTATCTGTTTCTGCGGTGCGCTGACATAAATGCCTCATCCCTATTTCATTTTGCAGGAGGAATTACACAACCCAGCCTTCATAATGATGATAACCGAGGTCTTTTATTGACACTAGGAGCACCATTTTCCATCTGCTCCCACGTGATAGACGCCCCTTTGTTGGAAAACAGTAACAGCTACACGAACTCTTACTCATTACACGACTGCACAAAGTCAGCAAATTCTCTTATAAGGTTTGCTGCTTGAAACCAAAACCATTTTCCCCAAAGCCATTAACGAGTTTCTTTCATCGTGGAAAATCGAGGGGAACAAGTGAACACTAATTCCATCCACAGAGTCACATGGAAAATGATTATCTCAGGAGGAACACAGTTCACGTCCCCAGAGCGAGGCTGAGCGATTGTGTAGTCTGTGCTGAAAATTGCATTAATTTTCTCGGGGTAGGGAAAAACACATCGACTTGAAGATGACGCTTAACCCACCCAAGCATGCACACAACAAGGTTAGGGAGGATTTTCTCTGTTTGACCGACAGTTATGAGAGTGATACCGACAACAACCATCTGATTCTGTGTGTTTTCATGCTCCCTCGCTTCACCCTCACACATCTGCGGTCTCGTGATGCCTCACCAGGGGCTCCAGTTCAGAGTGATCGATGAGGTTGAACTCTGAGATGAAGTAGTAGTAGTGCTTGTAGCAGGTATTGATGTGGGCCTCGGCGCCCATGCTGCAGATGCTGTCGAAGTGATGGATGTAAACGTGCACAAACACCCTGAAGAGGCGGCTCAGGATCTTCTTGCACACCTGCTGGAAGTTCTTGGGGAAAGGTACACCTAGAGTGAAGAGGAGGGGAAAGACATGATGAGAGTTGTACCAGAAGAACTACAACAACAACAACATGGTATAAAAGAATAATCTATCAGGCTTAAGATTAAATATGTATCACCACTTGTCATCAACACTATCAGTACTTGAGCAAGAGGAAGTGATTCCAAGCTCAGGTTCTGGCTTGATAAAAGTGGACAATAAATAAAAAAATAAGGTTTACAAAACTTGATGTCCAAGTTGCAAAAGGCCTCAGGGAATGAATGTGTCTATATGTCTCGAGTAGAAATACTCTGTTGTTAATATTTCTAACTAAAGGTGCAGCAGAGTAATGGCTCTCAATTTGTTAAAATATTCTTTTTTTCTGCTTCTTTTTTTTCACTATTCTTTTTTACTACAGACTTGTGGTTAAAATGCCAAACATGTCCTGTTTCTTATTTCTTTTCCTTTTATCCCTATTTTTTTCACCTCACAAAACACTTATAATTAAGATACTGAAAGTGTTTCATTTTTAAAACAGGAAATTACCTCTTTTTTTTTTCTAATATTCCAGAATAAAGTCTTATTAATGAGCGGCCAGTGCTTTTCCTTTTATTCCGTTGATATATTTGAAGAGTTCATTTGCAAAAACAGATAAGTCCATTGTTTTAGATTTTCAGAAAACATATTTTCTTTGTTGTTTGCTTGAGATAATATCAATCAAACTGAAGTTGAGTGGATTTGACTCAGTAGAAATGACAACAATAGAGACAACTTAGGTTTGATTGATATTGTCTCAGGTAGACGATGGAAAAGTAGGTTTTCTGAAGGTTTGTGTAGATGGAGTTTTTTTGCAAATGAACTCTTCATTTCTTAGAGCCTAGGAATACAGCCGTTGCTTCTACAGCTATCAGGGGAATATGTGGAAACATCTGTGGAGCAGCTCAACTTATTCAGCAAAATAAAAATGATGTGCACCACTCTATGAAGGTTAAGAATCATTGTTCTAGGATTCACTGCTGCAGGTCTTGTTCTTCCTCGGGGCGACGGAGGATCGCGAGCACACTTGTCAAAGGGAGAGAAACACAACTGACGAAGTGCCAGTGACTAACAGACAAAACTGAGTGAAACCTGTGGGAAACTCTGAGATTTCGTCTCACCTGGCCTGCGTGTCTCTACACGATGAAGCGAAACCAGAGCTTCCTTAAAAAATTCATGAGAAAGGTGTCTGTGGATGGGATCAAACGCTGAGCTCTCTCCTCCATTATGCATGAAACTCTCACCTCTAATAAACGAGGACCATCAGGTCTGGCGTCGGGTTAAAATAACGCCACTGTCACCTACTCAATCTCCTTTAAATGTCAACCCTACTGTCTAATTAACCTCTGACTGAATTTAATTGTCTCATCTGAGAGCTTAATGAAGGAGAACAGCGCTGCTCTCCAGGTTGGCAGCTCAACATCATCGCAGGCAGGTTATGATAACAGTGTGACGGCTTCATCTTCTAGACTCCTCACACACACCTACTCTGGTGGGGAAGATGTCCTCGTTATTGATGAGCGACTCGATCCAGTCCATCATCAGGTTCATGTACTTCAGAGCCGGCAGCTTGGTGGGCTTCTTGTAGTCGTCCCCGTCCTGCCACCTGTACTCGTACCTCAGTCCCCCCGACATGATGGGACACGTGCGCTCGGTGCAGTACTCGCTCACGGTGCCGTAGATCAGGTTGATCCTGTTAAAGAAATCCACCACGTGAACCGCAATCCAGTCGTTGAGGTTCTCTCCCTCCGGCAGCTGCACCACTTTCCTCAGGTCCAGGCCGGACTTGAGCGAGGCCTGGGCCTTCTTGTAGAGTTCAAAGCGCTGCGTGCCCGGCTCAAAACGCTTCCTGGGCCTGAAGGTTTTGTCTTTGCTGAACACTTGTCCGAGACACAGCGCCATCAGCTCAGCCGTTTCCCTTCAGATAAGGGGAGGACAAGCTCGCCAGAATAAAAGTTTGATAAGACCTTCTGGAAAGAGAAGGGGGGGCTGGAGTCAGATCACAGGGGGTCAGCGTCTGCCACGGAAAGACTGCAGAGGTCTTGGTTTCAGTTGGGGGACGTCTCTGTAAAGAAAAAAAAGAAAAAAACAGAAATCAGGGTTTTTCCTTTCCTGTCAATCTACTGCTTTAGTTGATCAATGGATGACCACAACATCAAAAGTAAAACTACAAAAAAAACACCCAAGAATCTGCCATAAAACCTTTAAAAACCAGCCCTATACTACAACTTCTGTAGTATTTACAATATAGCATAAACTGCACATTATCGTTGCTGTGTAATGTGATTTAAAGGCATCTCTGTGAGCACCAATGAATAGAAACCAGCATCCCCTCCAACAGAGAGTGAAGCGGTACGTGGCTTTATTGCCTCAAACTGCTCTGTGGGACCAAAATGACCTTATCACAAGCTGTTCATCAATAAAAATAGCAACAGTTTCACTCAGCTGTAGAAAAAGTCAGGCCAGCAGAGCGAGGCTTAATTGGGAAGATGAATGGCACGCTGTGACTCACTAAACACTGAACGGCTCTAAAGAGCAGCGTGAGAGGTCCTCAGTGAAACGGGCTGATTAGTCAGAAGCAGCACTGTGTTACAGGAAAACCTTTGAATTTGGAGTAAAGACACTAAATTCCTCCTTCTTGTAGTGGATATTAGAAATAGATTTGATGTTTTTTGCCAAACTGTTACCCACCTGGCAGGTAGTATGTGCTTATCACGAGCATCACCTCACTAAATGATAAAGTGACTTTTGTTATGGCAGTAAAGCAATAATGATAAAGCATTTGAATATTAACTGATTGGATTATTATAGGGGGCTGCAGTTGGTAGCACTGTTGCCTTGCAGCTAGAAAGTTGCCGGTTCGCGTCCCGGTGGGGGCACCAGAATCTTTCTGCGTGGAGTTTGCATGTTCTCCCCGTGCAGTGTGGGTTCTCTCCGGGTTCTCCGGCTTCCTCCCACACAGTCCAAAAACATGTTGAGGTTAATTGGTGATTCTAAATTGTCCGTAGGTGTGAATGTGAGTGTGGTTGTCTGTCTCTAAGTGTGGCCCTGTGATAGACTGGTGACCTGTCCAGGGTGTCCCCTGCCTTCGTCCTAAGTCGGTCGGGAGAGGATGAAGTGGTGTATAGATAATGGATAGATGGATTATTATAGGACAATAAGAAGAAGTTTATAC